TTTGTCGTTTTGCATCTTTGGTCGACTCGTTGGCTTGTACGCTTCACTAAGGGACTGACTGACGAACGCGTCGGTCACTTGGGGCTGCTTGACAAGCGCGTTTGATCACTCATGCGCGCATTGGCTGACGTGCGTGAGCTAATTGACGTGTGTGCGTTTGACCGACGCGCGCGAGCTGATTGACGTGCGCGAGCTGACCGACGCACGCGAGCTGACTGACGAGCGTGTTCGGTCACTTTGAGTTGACCGACGCGCGCAAGCTGATTGACATGCACGAGCTAACTGTAGGCTGTCTAAAAATCACAACAGATAGCTGATCCCCATCAAACACCAATGACGGAAGTTACAATCTGACGACTTCCAGAAGGCCATAATTTGAAGACTTTCACGTAGATCGCTGGAGGTTACAATCTGACGACCTTCACGATAACTGATGAAAGCTCTAATTCAACAGCCTTCACAATCAACATCGGGAGTTACAATCTGACGACTCTCATAATTTCAAGGAGCCAAGACGAAGATTACAAGAGGACGATATGTGCAAAGCTCTAGCAAAAGAGACTACAAATTGACGGTCTCTTCATATTAGAATGCAGATATCTCTCAAACCGTAAGGAATTTGGCGAAACGGATGAAGCGAACAAAAGCCTTTGGCTCGGTTCCGATGGCCCCGTCTCATCGAGATAGCCGATTTTTATATATAATTCGTCCAATTCCGACTTACGGTTTGAGAGTTATGACCTGTTCCTCGTAGCAAATTATGTTCTGAAGTCCGTCTGTAAGACTGGACTTCGTCAAAACATTGGACTTAGCCTGAAGCTCGCCAAGCCCGCCTAAGGTTCGCCTCTGCATTACAGAGTCAAAACGCACAGGTCGAACCAGCGTTATAACCTCAAAACGCAGAGGTTATCCTCGTGATATAACATCAAAACGCAGAGTTTTCAGGCCAACTGTGCGTTTTCAGGCCAACTGTGCGTTTACGGGCCCAGCTGTGCGTTTTCAGCCTCAACTGTGCGTTTTCAGCTCCAGCTGTGCGTTTTCAGCCTTAACTGTGCGTTTACGGGCCCAGCTGTGCGTTTTCAGCCTCAACTGTGCGTTTTTAGGCCAACTGTGCGTTTACAGGCCCAACTGTGCGTTTTCAGGTCCAGAAACGCACAGTTCGGGCCCAGAACGCTGTTTTCAGCGTTTGACTCGTTCAAGCACGATTTGAACGGTTCCAGAACCGTTTTCTCCCCAAGATTTTAGGGGATCACTACCCTATCATGGAGAGATTTATGGGGGGCAGTTACACCCCATTAAACCCTCATTAAGGAGAGATTTAAGGGGGCGGTTACACCCCTAAATCCCCTAAAAATAGGGGGAAACTCAACTGAGTTCAGGGGCTCTTTTTTTGGCTGACATTTTGGGGATCCTTGATCGGGCATCTTTGAGCTTTCTGCAGCAACAGAGAGCTTTGGAGATCAGCGACTTGAAGGAGCTCTTGAATCATTTTGTAAGGCTTTTATTGAAGCCTTCGAAATTATTCGGCCTTGGCTTATTAACCGACTTTCGGTTAAATCAACTCTTCCATAGAGTTTCAAACTCGTTCAGAGTTATCAACTCATTTAGAGTTATCAACTCGATCAGAGTTCGAAACTTGCTCCGCAAGTTCTTCTAAAACTCGCTCTGAGTTATCAACTCGATCAGAGTTCAAAACTTGCTCTGCAAGTTCTTCTAAAACTCACTCTGAGTTATTAACTCGTCAAGAGTTATTTTTAAGACTTGCCACGCAAGTTCTCCATAGCGTCAAATCGTGAGGAGAAGACTACGTTACAGTGAATCAAGACGTGCGGATCGTCAACGAGAAGCAAACTCGACGCGAGCATTCGAGGGAGGCATCTCATCGCCACCGTGAAGAACCCAGAATTAAACAAAGGGGAGAATCAAATTCATTCTCCTCTCTTTTGTAATCGGAATCCAAATTGTAATTGATTTTGAGAGGAATACAAGACAATTTTTCTTTCATTATCTTTTTACTGCAAATTTTCCAACAAACACTAACCGACGTGCGCGAGCTGATTGACGTGCGCGAGCTGACCGACGCGCGCGAGCTGACCGACGTGCGCAAGCTTACTAACGAGCGTGTTTTGTCACTTTGAGTTGACCGACGCGCGTGAGCTGATTGACGTGCGTGTGCTGACCGACGTGCGCGAACTGATTGACGAGCGTGTTCGGTCACTTTGAGTTCACCGACGCGCGCGAGCTGATTGACGTGCGCGAGATGACCAGCGTGCGCAGCGGCCGATTGGATAACCCTTCTTGACTCGTCCACTCTCTGTTTCGAGCTGTGTGCGAAATCTCATAGGCAATTTTAGACGCCTACACGAACGAACATCGTCAAACAGGCAAACTTCGTATGACAGACGAACCTCGTTGCATGAGCGAACCACGTCAAACTACGAGAACGCTAGGGTTACACCCTCGTGCGAATGCGTAGCTTGTCCGCATGCTGCAAAGCAGCCTATGAGGCAACCTCTGTGGCGTCAAATAGCATCACCTCGCCCTGATGCCTCCGTGCGAAGTGCAAAGTGCGTCTAACAAAGCGCCACTTAGCGCCTGAGCCCGATTAGTCCCGATCTCCGACCCATTGGCTCCCGGCCCCCGGCCCACGAGAACTTATAAGGGATTAATTCAATAAAACACTTAAAATAAAACACTTATCGGCTTGTCGTTGGCAAGCCTCGAACAAGGGACCTTTTGAAACACCAAAACATTAACTTTCCACTAGGCTACTAAGTATTTATGAAAAGTATTTATAGTTAATATATATATATAGTTTGAAAACTCATTTTGAAAAGCGGTTTTGACCAAAAACTCCAACACTATCTACTCAATATTTTCCTTTTAAAAAAGCTACTGAATATTAATGCAAAATTTCACAACGTTTGTAAACTGGACTCATCAAACAATTTATAATGCAGTCTCTTAACGTAGGTTACATAATCTAGAAAATCATCCTTTAGGTCGTGTCAAAATCTTCATCAATATTTTCTACTGCCACTCAAATGAATATTCAAGTATATCATATGGGCTGCCCTCTAAGAATCTTCCACATTCTTGTATAGTGACTATAATTATTGGCCCGCCAAACACTGCAATTGTAGTGGAAAGTACTTTAATCTATCTCCACCACTTTAAGAAAGACTCTTTATTAGTGGCCCCTCGAGACCTCAATCCTTCTGACTATCAACATTAGTTTCGCTTGGGCGTTATCGGTGAGTCCATTTCCGGAAAATTTTTTGGAGCGGGTTTTGATAGTTTTCGAATCCCTTTATACCCAAACCCGATAAACTAAAATCCAAACCTCCACCGTTACAACAACGATCTATTTTCACGAAATGACGGAAGTCCATATTACACTAGAGCTGTCCACATGCGAGCGGGATGAAGAGTAGTTCGGCATTTTCACCACCCTCGCGAATATATAATAGTTTTCTATTTTTAATAAAATTATATAATTTTTTTTCTTATTTTGAATAAAAAGGTTACTAGGTGGGACATTGGATTAGTAGCTTTAAGACTGAAATAGGCTCCAAAATTTACGTTCTGAAATATTTGGAAAATTTAGAATCCTTCTAAGTTTTCTTTCTTCGGTTTGTAGGATAGCCGAGCTCAAATTTTGGAGTCATGTGAAATTCCAAGTTAGTTTGTCACGCGAAGAACGGTTCGGATACAAAAGCGTGGAAAAACTATCCTACCCGATCCGCTAACCAAGTTTTCCCGTTTCGACCGGCGACCGCTGAGCTGGCAGAAAATGCAGTGCCCGACTTTTTGCTCTCCATCTCTTCGTTGTCCTCGTCCTGTTCACCGGTGGACCCCACCAACGGATACTTTGCTTGGGTACTTGAACTTGAGTGGGGATATCCTCATTCCTCCATAGCTCAGAGGCGGTGGAGAGAAAAAGCTGGGGGCGTTGATGGCTTCTTCTAATTTTCTCAGCACTCTTCTTCTTCTTCCTCTATCCCTGTACACCGCCCTCTCTCTGGTTCCCGCCGCCGAAGCGGGGCCCAAGGTGCCAGCGCTCTACGTGTTCGGCGACTCGACTGCTGACGTGGGCAACAACAATTTCTTGCCTGGGGCTCAGGCGAAGGCCAACTTCCCCCACTACGGGCTGGACTTCCCTCTCTCAAGGCCCACTGGCAGGTTCAGCAACGGCTACAACGGCATTGATTTCTTGGGTACGTTAATTTTCTTGCTTGCTTGTTAATTCTTTATTTTTTAGTTTTTTTTTTTTTATATGATCTATTATGCAGTTTAGGGAGATGGAAATATTGGGAATGTCTTGTTATTCTTGTATACTCTGTATGTTAGTAGCATAAGTGAGAGAGGGAATCTTTTTATTTTTATTATTATTTTTTTTCTTTTTGTAACTGAGAAAGTATGATGAAATTAGGAGAAGTTTTCAGGTTTCAGTTTAAAATATAAGAAATGACCCCAAGTTAAGAGGGAGGCAAGCATTTCTAGCATCTACATGTTATAATGAAACTATAGTAAGGAGAAATTCAAATGCGGAAAGAATTCTCCTTTCTGGAGTTTGCTTACGAGATTATGCTCCGTAGAATGTTTCTTAAAATTAAAAAAAAAGGGCGGGGGTGGGGGTGGGGGTTGTGGGTATCAAAGTAATAAATCCGAAGAAAACTGAGGTACTATTCCAAATCACTGAACAGAACTATGAACTGGCTGAGAACTACTGGTCCTGAGACAGCCAAAAGCTCAGGAAAAATCCCATAACATAGATCAACTCAGACTAAAGAAACAGGGTTTACGACGATCTTGTACTGAAAAACATGGAGAAAGAAACACAGAGCTAATAGGAAATTTTGTGAAATGTAAAATTCAGGCTAGTGAATAATGAAACTCAAACTTGTAGAGTGTTGCCTCTTTTTTTTCCGGTTTTGGTTTTGTTTTTTGTGGGAACTTTAGATTTAGGTTAGAGAATGGACTAGTTGAAGAATTATCCATGAGTTTGGGGTGAAGATGTGTAACCAATTTGAGTTAGATTTCAGCAAACATAGAAATGAGGAAGCAGGGGATCTCAGTTTCAAGTCCTATGTTGTCAGTAGAAATATATGAAAACTTTAATTCCATAGATGAGATAATATGGGCTTATATAGGCCCTACAAACATATCTTACAAATAAGCCACTTAACTATACTTAATATGTCAACACTCCTCCTCAAGATGGACGAAAGATATGTACTAAGCACATCTTGTTACATTCTCTAATCATATCTAATGAGCTAAGTCCCTTAGTCATACAATCTGCTGTCTGGTCCTTAGTTGAAACATGACTTAGCTCCAGTAGTCCACTATCCAAATTTTTCTTTAATGAAGAACTTATTGATCTCGATGTGTTTGGTTCTATCATGCTGCACTGGGTTGTTGGCGGTATTGATAGCTGACTTGTTATCACACCACAACTTTATCTTAGCTCCTTGATCCAGCTTCAGCTCCACCAGCATACTTTTCAACCATAACAACTCAGCAACTCCTAAGGCCATAGCTCTATACTCTGCCTCAGCTGTCGATCTTGCCACCACTAACTGCTTCTTGCTCTTCCACGAGACTAAGTTGCCTCCTATAAAAATACAGTATCCTGAGGTGGACCTCCTGTCATCAGCACAACTAGCCCAATCAGAGTCGCAGTAACCCTTAATACTTACATGTTCATTCTTTCTGAATATCAACCATTTTCTGGGGGCACTCTTCAAATATCTCAGAATCTGGTATACAACGTCCATATGACCCTTCCTCGGATCATGCATGTAGCGGCTCACCACGCTCACTACAAAAGAGATATCGGGACGTGTGTGACTCAGATAGATCAATCTGCCCACCAGCCTTTGGTATCTGTCACGATCAACTGGTTCTTCAGCTTCAGCACCCAGCTTGAACTTCTGATCGATCGGTATAGTTGTAAGTTTACACCCTAACATCCATGTCTCTTTGAGAAGATCCAGTGCGTACTTTCTCTGGGATAGGATAATCCCCTCCGCTCCTCGAGCTATCTCTATTCCAAGAAAGTATCAAAGCAAGCCAAGATCTTTCGCCTCGAATTCCTTACCCAGTCTCACTTTGAGTTGGGCAATCTTCTTCTCATCATCCCCTGTAATAATCATATCATCCACATATACTGTAAGCATGGTGATGTGACCTTCATTTCGTCGAAAAAACACGGTATGATCGGTGTTAATCTACTGGTACCCCATACCCAGCATAGCTCTCCTGAATCTGTCGAACCAAGCGTAGGGAGACTGCTTCAGCTCATAAAGAGACTTCTTTAATCTGCAGACCTTGTCCACTGTCTGATCTGTGTCGAATCCTGACGGAATTTCCATGTATACCTCTTCTACCAGATCTTCATGAAGAAATACATTCTTCACATCTAATTGGTGTAGCTTTCATCCATCATTTATTGCCAGAGAGATCAAGGTCCGAACAGTGCTCATCTTCGCCACCGGTGCAAAAGTCTCATCATAGTCGATCACATATGTCTGACTATATTCTTTTGCCACCAGACGAGTTTTGTAACGCTCAACCTATCCGTCTGGATTCTGCTTCACAGTGAAGACCCACTTGCATCCAACTACTCTCTTTTCTTTTGGTAGTTTTACTAACTCCTAAGTGCGGTTCTTCTCAAGGGCCCCTAGCTCTTCGTGCATCATCGTTTTCCACTTTGGGCCTTTTTTAGCATCCTGCCAATTGTTAGGTACAGTAACAGAGTCCAATGATGTAATGAATGCTCCATATGCAGGATGAATGTTAGAATATGATACAAACTGGGCAATATCCCATCCATATCTATCGGGAGGATTTTCCGCATTACTACGAGTAGTCCTCTGTACTGATATTGGTGTGGGAGGAGTAGGGAGAGGAATGTTATCACCTTGGGATGAATCTGGTGGTGGTGTCGGTGTCTCAGGAGTCGGAACAGGCGTTGGCAAGAGACTGAGCAGCACTAGTGACACTGTAGGTACTGTTCCTGTAATTTGCTTCCTCTTCCTACTATAGGTTAGTAGCTCTCCCTGAACCGTGGGCCTAACACCTCTTGTCTTATTTTCTTTCTTCTTTATTTTCCTGCTTCTCCTCAACTAATTCTCCCTCCCAAGGAATCGATACAGAAATTAATTTTTTCACATTGTTCACCGATCTCTCACCATTCTCCTCTCGCCTCATACTTCTAGTATTGGGCGAGTTACCAATGGATGAAGTTACCTTCCGGGTGTAATATGGCTCGAGTTCTCGAAAGTGCACATTCATGCTCACAAATAACCTTTTCTCCACCGGGCTCCAGCAAACATATCCCTTCTGAGTAGCAGAATATCCCACAAAGATGCACTTCACAGCTCTAAGGGCAAGCTTCCCGCTGTTGTCCTTCACAAAGCACACACAGCCAAACACTTTAAGTGGAAGAATCCTACCATTATCTTCCTTCAACGTCTCACACGGAGACTTCCAATCCAGTACTCTCGAGGGCATTCTTTTGATCAGCGCTGCTGCGATCAATACTGCTTACCCCCATAATGTTTCTGGGATATTCATAGAAATCATCATGCTTCTAGCAACCTCTAAAAAATATATGTTCTTCCTTTTCGCTGCCCCATTCTAAACTGGTGTGTATGGACATGTTGTCTGGTGCTGTATTCCCTGAGCTGACAAATATTCTTCAAGCGCTCTGTTGGTATACCCTGTCCCTTTATCCGACCTCAATACCTTCACCACTATTCCGTATTGAGTCTGAACATTCCTATGAAAGTTTTGGAAGCAACCAAACACTTCACTCTTATTTTTCATCAGGTATAACCAAGTAACATGAGAGAAACAATCAATAAAGGTAACAAAATACTTGTATTCATTCATAGAACTTGTGGAACAAGGCCCCAAACATCTGAATGTATCAAGTCAAATGCATGAGAACTTCTATGACCAGAACTAACATAAGAGCTTCTAGTAAGCTTTCCAAACTCACATGCATCACACATAAATTTCTGTTTATTTGCTTTCTCAAATAAAGATGGATACAATCTACTTAAAACACTAAAGGATGAGTGTCTCAAACGCTGGTGATGAAGCATTAACTCATTCTCAGCACTCATTTTAGATCCTACTCCTGATTTCTCCACGATTGACACTAATGCTGAATCCAGCCCTTCACGATCCAGATACCACAGTCCACTACGCCATGTGCCAGTCCTAAGTCTCTGTCTTGTCCCCTTCTCCTGAAAAATCACCTTGGGAATATCAAAAGAAACAATGCATTTTAGTTGGAGGATGATAGCACTAATGGACAAAAGATTGACCGGAAAGGAAGGAGCATGCAAATCATTGGACAAAGTTACAGAACCAGTACAATCGACTGTACCCTTACCAACCACCGGCTGAAATGTACCATCAGCTGTTTGAATACTATCAAGCGATGCTAGGTGAGTATATGATGAGAACTCACTAGCATTACCTGTCACATGTCGAGACGCACCGGAGTCGACTATCCATTCTGATGATCTGTCGGGAGACATAGAAACAAGAGCATGTATGTCATTAGTATCTTTGTTCGTATGAGCATAGGTAGCAGTGTTGCCTCTGGCGAAGAACGAAGTGGATGCTTCCTCAGTCCCACTCCTCAAGTCTCCATCCCCTGTTGTTTTTTGCTTCCTCCTGAGTATTGTCAGGAGAGCATGATCCTCCTCAGTAAAGACCACCTCAGCTTCTTCTTCTTTCTCTACTACCATCAGATTCGCCCGGTTTCTGCTCCTCTTCCACCTCGTCGATCCCCACGGTCACGACCACGACCTCCGAACTGTCCACGTCCACCCGAATCTCCTTCCTTGGCTGTCTTGGTGCAAGCGTGCCTTAGATGACCTACTGCACCGCAGTTGTAGCACTACCGAGTCTCTCCCCTGGATCCAGTGTTGCTAGAGGCTGCCAGTGCTAATTTCACCACAGGAAGTCCACCTGTCCCCGCCTGCAGCCGAATGCGAGTCTCCTCCTGGATCATAGCAAAGACAGCCTCCTCAAGCGTGAGAATCTTCGGCTGAGCTAGCAGTAATGCAATTCGCTGAGCGAACTCTGATGTCAATCCTTTGAGAAACACCATAGTCTTCTCCTGTAGAAAGGCCTCCCGTTCTTTACATCCCGGGTCCTTACAGCTCGTCCGAGGTGAGAAGTGATCATAATCTAG